GTGGTTTGTTTAGAGGGTCTTAGGTTATGAGGATACCTTTCATTCCCCTGGGTATTTTGAAAATGTTTTATTAGTGTATTATAGTTATACATAATTTTGGGGTTAATGCAGACATGATTGTGCAAGCACAGAATTTAATTTGCTACAGTTCAGTCCCTAGTAGTCCCCTTTTCCTACTACTATGGGATCTTAAAATCCTGATTCCTGTTTCTTCACTAATCATTTACAGAAAACAATGAATAATGTGGAGATGTCTGGGTACGTGAATGTGCTGTTGAGGAGTTTCCTGTGACAGTAGAATTTTGGCCACTTTTGTTGCCCGTATCCCTCCATCTCAGCCACTTAGAAGTAGTTCATCATTACACATAGAGGAGCATGGATGTTACATGGAAAAGTGCTTTTGCAGTAAATGTAAAGAAGAAAACTATATGATAACTTTATGTGGTTACATGGAAGGAAACAACAATGATAGTTGGATAGTAGGTGACTTTTTTTATTCTGATATTAGTTTATCAGAATGTTGTAGTGTTATTGGCAAAATAAATAATTTCAAATACAAGGTGACCTAGGAAGCTGGACTAACTCTTTCTTTTCCTTCTAAGGGTTGAAACCAGGTGTGGGGGCTTTCTTCACGTTGATGATTATTGTTTTGCTGGTGGCTTATGCCACCGGTACCATGGCAATGATCCTGGGAGCAGGAGAGAAGGCGATGGAAATAAAGACATTTCTTGTGACTGTCTATTTTGTGTTTATGATGGTGAGTGTGAACTGTACTGCTTTGAGAGGGAATCTCTTCCCTTGTTCTTTCCTGCTTCTTCACTTGTCCTTAAAACTTGCTTTTAGGATCCTGTGTGGGACTCCAATGTTTTCAGAGGCCACACAGTGGCTATTAGAGAATGTACCACTTTCTTCCTGGTCCTTATGCAATTTTTTTGCTAGAGTCCTAATTTTGTTATTCTAACTTTTAACCAATCCTCACTAATGAGCTTTAAAAAAAATACTTCTGGGTGATGTATCATGAAACTTTGATAAATTGGAAACTCAAATCCCGGAAGAATTATGATTAGCCAATTCCCTCATAAAAAACAGATTCTGTGCCTGACCTTCATGCTGGTGTTAGAGAATTGCCAGGTCTGTAATCAGCAGAGATGGTTTGGTTTTTTGGATTATGTATGCTTCAAGGCAAAAGTGAAGATCCATGAGGAGTTTGACAGTGTGTGGCATGGGAAGTCTAACTGGAGCGCCTCTTACATTTTGAAAAGAAGTATTGAAAGCACTAGAAATTCCAAAGTCCACAGTGCTGGGTTCCCTCCCTTGTGGGATCCTGAGGTTCTCTTATATCAAAGTATTTCTACATCTTTGGGGATTTTTTTAATGTTTACTTAGTTCTAATCTTATATGCTTTAAATTTTGCACTCAAAATGATGAATCAGCAGATAATTGCTACCAACCTTCTCCCTGTGACATGAACTAAACAGGAGTGCTCATCCTATTAATACACATGTCCGTTCTGCTTCAGTAGGAGTTGTTTTTCAATGATACATTCTTAGCATAAGCTCTTGCTAACGTTTAATTTATGAATTTGGCAACTATAATGTATATCATTGAGAAAGGGATCTTGTTATAGTTCCTATGCTGTTGTACAACAAACAAAATATCTTTCAATAAATGAACTTTTCTTTGATGTGATGCTTTGATATTAATTATTATGTAAAGAATTCCATATGGAATTTAAAAAACCAATCATAAAACCATATTTCGCTCAGAGTTGCTAGTGTATACTAAGCACTTAGTTAGGTCCAGTCTAAACATATGCACACACACCCTAACATTGTCATTGTTCTGCATATCCCAGTGCACCTCACACCAGTTAGGACAAGTGTTATGTGAACCTTGTAGCTGTCTCTTGTTAACAAGTCTCTAGCAGTCCTTCCTGGAATCTCCACTGTTATACTGCCTTCTGATAGCTTAAAATAGAGGTATTGACTGTGTTCTGCTGAAATCACATTATTATTATTATTATTATTAATATTGAGTTTTAGGGCTTTGGGATATTTAAGCTGGCATTCTGAATCCCAAATTGTTCCTACAGGTATGGATACAAAAAACAAACCCTTGTAAATTTCAACTCTTATTATTGTGTAGAAGTAGAGAGGAGCATGTGATGCTCAGGATTTTAGATGTCCAGGTTTATGAGGGGGACAGATAGTGGAGGTATAATTTGAGTGGTCAGTACTATCAGCTCTTCGTGTCCATGGGTTCCACATCCAAAGATTCAACCAACCATGGGGATTGGGGGGTGTTAAAACAAAATTTCCATCTGTACTGAAAATGGACACTTTTTCTTTTCTTGTCATTTGTCCCAAAACCATACAATATAAATTTTTACTTGATGGTTGACTTGTATTGTGTTTCAAAAGAAACATGGAAATGATTTTTTAAAAAATACAGAATTTGCATATTTAAAACATAAAGGATATACATAATTGTATCAAATATTATGCCATTTTCAAAATTAGAGATATAAGATTGTCAGATATTGGCATCTGTGGGTGAGAGTTGCTGGAGGCTCCTATAACTAATCCCTGTCAGATACTAAGAGATGACCTTAGTCCTTAATCTTTATTGTATACAGTTGCAGAGCAATAAGGACAGAGTCTTGATAATAAAGAATCTCCCAAAATAAGTGGAGTATACTATATAGATTACAGGTGCATTGTTCTTACTTTAACACCATAAACTGCCTTAAGCATGCAGAGGTATATATATGCAAAGGACTAAAATCAGTATTTAGAAGTAAGTGGAAGAAATTTCAAGAAAGATTAGGTCCTAGTAGAAATGTTTAGAAGGTTGCAAAGTTCTTATATAGGGTCTTGTCTAGAGTCCTCATGACACTTTGTTTTGCTTTTTTTTAGGTCATCTTGGGTATGACACTGAATTTTGGCACCACAACACCTTGGCTCTCATGGTTTGAGTACTTGAGTATTCCTCATTATGGCTATATGGTAAGATGTCCACGTCTGCCATTGTGGCAGAGCTTCCAAAGTGGGAACAATCAAAATAAATCCTAATCATCTAATTTCCATGAACTGTGAACCTCTTTCATCAAGGAATTGTCTTTTAGGGAGTTATCTGGATTTTCCCAATCACATCATTGTTTGAGGAAGAAGAAATCTGGGGGAAAATCTAATTAATAGAAAAGGTTAACTACTTAATGAAAAACATATTTTGTGTTAGTTCAATAAGAGAATCAATAAGAGGAAGGGAGACTGAAACACATTGTTTATACTGAAAGTGAAATTAAAAGAGAATCAGAAGACCATCTAATACCCAGAGCCATACTGGCAAGTTAATCAACTCCAAAGGAAGCTGTGTCTTAACACAGTGTAACCAAATTTCTAACTCCCATAATTTCAACTAGTTTTTTTTAAGAAATATTCTTTTTTTTTTGAGAGTGAGAGAGAGAGAGAATTTTAATATTTATTTTTTAGTTTTTTCAGCGGACACAACATCTTTGTTTGTATGTGGTGCTGAGGATCGAACCCGGGCCACATGCATGCCAGGCGAGTGTGCTACCACTTCAGCCACATCCCAAGCCCTCAACTAGTTTTTGATGAAAACAAACAAGAAAACATTGTTATTATAAATTGACAATTTTCACTAAACACTATTGTATCGTTTTAATTATAGTTTTTATTAGGGTTGTAAAATTGAGGGAGAAGAAAGAAGTTTGGGCTATCTAGCCATAGGTATCCCTTTTTTGCCAATGAGAAGCAATGTCCCAAACTTAGGCCTCTTGGTTACCAGGGAAAATATGTCAGCTGCTGTGCTGTGACAAAGGCTGTGAATGTAAGACTTGGTTTATTTTTGGAAACAATAATGAAGATTAAACTTGAGGGCCTAATTGTGATAATTCTTTGGCAACTTTTAATTTTTGCAATAATAGGGATTTAACCTAGGGACCTGTGCATGCTGAACAAGCACTCTGTCATTGAGCTATTTTCTCAGCCCCTTTTATTTTTTGAGACAGAGTCTCCTTACCTTGAGATGCCCAGGCTGACCTTGAACTTGCTATCCTCCTGCAATAGTCTCCCCACCAGGAGGGTTTATAGTATGAGGTTCTGTACCTGGCATCTGGAAACTTCTTGAAATGTAAAACTATTTATCTTGCCTTTCCCCTGCCCCTTATGATATAGGCTTTGCAACATAATGAATTTTTGGGACAAAACTTCTGTCCAGGACTCAGTACAACCGAAAGCAGTGGCTGTAGTAGCTATGTGATGTAAGTTTCCATTCCATGTCATATGAGATTTCTTACCATTGTGATGAGATATAGAAAGTCCCCTGGGTTTAGAGCCGAAGCTCAATGAATCTTTCTGAACGTAAGTCTTCTCACTCACAAAGTGAGACCTTGTATACTAGTGCATGTGAACATGCTGTGCTTGTATTCCACTACAGTCTCAATGTTGTAATAAATGTGGAGAAATGTTTGTTTTCTCCCTATGGAAAATTTATTTTGTTGTTTTGATTGTGAGTTTGAGTTCTTATTTTTCAGAATATTTGAATTTGAAATGGGTGCTTCAATAGTTTATCAAGTGTTCATAGTCTCTGAACTGAACAGATTATATGTTGTCTGTGAGCCCAGCCCATGGACAGTAGTAAGAATTAATGAAGCAGAAATGGCATCAAGGGAGGGAACAGAGGCCCCAAGTTCAGGCTCCTCCCTTTGCTCACACATGTGAGAGACACCACGAAATCAAAGACAACTCAGTTGTGTGTGTGTGTGTGTGTGTGTGTGTGTATGTATATAAACTGACTTGGAATACTTCCTCTCATAGGATGTATCCTTTAAAGGAAAAAAAAATCAGTAAATTGAAAAGAAACTCTTATTTTCATACACTGTCATTAAAACAGAAATGAAGATTTTAATAAAATTGGAGGATCTTGCTTTAAAATTTTGATGATGCCTACCTTTTCAATGATAGTTGTTTGTTAATGGCTTGACTTTGATGCTTCAGTTCATAAGAAAAAGAGAATGCTGGAATACTAATACTCTCCTGTATTTCTCAAATAGTATAGAAATAATTCTATACCAACCAGAAAATCTGTGAAGAGGTGTTTTCTTTACTTGCCTGCTCTCTTGTATTTGATCAGGGTGTGGCACAAAATCAGTGCCAAGCTGCTGATAGAACAAAGTGGATGGGAAAAATGGGACCAGATTAGGAGGAGCCACCACAGGCTTCAGGATCACAGGGGCTCATCCTCACAAGAGGAAAGACAGAGCTCCTCTTACAGCAAAGAGAAGCCATAGATATTTTTGTAACTGCTAAATTCTAAGAGATGGAACAATAGGCACAAGAATGGCAGCAGGCAATTATTGTGGCTGCAGCAGGTGTTTTTAGTGTCGGGTGCTTTTCTACCTGTGGCAGAAATGCTGCATCCTGCTCTGCTCCAGCTGGAGTTCAGTTCTGATTCCTGGGTCTGCAGGTGACATCTTGGAGCTGAATGTCTGTGATGCTCTCCACAGTCTTGATGCAACAGCTGACAGACATGACTTGCTGGAAGCTCTGCTCCCCTTTGTTCCTAGTTTTAGAATTCTTAGCCTGTGTAGTTTACTGTCTTGTGGGTAAGCAGAACTGTGGGGAGCTTTGATCATCTTAGCAAGGGCCATAGGTGTCATCAGTTAAAGCTGAGGGTGACCCATAGAAGTTAGCTCTAATGGGGAAACTCTCAGTGAAAGTTTACCCTACAGAATATATCCTTTGAAGAGAGCAGCATTATAAATTTGTAAATGAAAGAATCAAAAGGCTAGAAACTTGCTCCACAGCATGTGTCTGTAGGCTTGGCCAAGTTTGTTAAGTCTACTCCCTTCCCCTTTCAAATGTGTATATCTATATTCCTTTGGATTGTTTTAAGATAACTAAACTATTAGATCCAAGTTGCTTAGCACAGTATCTAGCAAAATTGTAAGCACTCAATGACTTTTAGCTATTATATAAGAAAGACTAACTCCTAATGATTTGGATAACCTATCAGTTTCTTTAGATACTAGGAATTTACATATATATATATATATATATATATATATATATTTTTTTTTTTTTTTTTAATTGAATTTCAGATGTACCGGTGAAGAATTCTTGACAATCCAAGACATCGATCTCTCACCTTGGGGCTTGTGGAAGAATCTCCTGAGTTTGATTTGTATAATTTTTATTTTCCTCACAATTACCTACCTAAAACTAGTATTTCTCAAAAAATATTCTTAAATTCCCCTTTAATTTATTATGAATTACCCTTACATTCAAAAGGAGCACCTGGATTTATTTTAAATGTCCGATGAAGACTTTCTGTAGTTTTTGATCAGCTACCATCACACTGTTGTATAGCAACAATTTTCAATAGAAACATTCAGAAAAACCACATCAAACTGTCTTATACATGAGAGAACCCAAGCTGAAAGCTAACGATATGCATTACATATTAGCTCATCTCTACAGACAGTAACCAAGAAGAAGAAAATATAGGCTATTTTATTGACGTCAAAGAGGAAAATTGAATTCTAGAAATGCTTGTCAAGCTACTAATATTTCTAATATCAGTGTTCTCATCTTCAAAGTGAATAAGCTAGTTGATAGTCCTCTAGTTTTAATAGGCTGTGAATCTCTGATCTGCCATTGTTTAATAAGTAACACATATATGAATGCATTGTGGAAAGTATTAGATCTAAAATATATTAGAAAAACCAGTATTACTTCTAGGACAAGAAAAGTCATGATGACTGAAAAACATGTCTTTGATAAGCTTATTGAGGTTGGTGGAATTTACTGATACTTACATACTGGAGTTGTAAGAGCTAAAGAGTCTTGGCGCTTTGGGTTACAAGTGAAGTAGAGGGCCAAGGGTCTGCAGATGTGGCTCTTGTGCCATTTATGGGACATTCTGCTCTGAAGTCACTTCACTTCCTGGCGTGGTTCAGTGGTATATAATCTGGTTGTATCCAAATCTCCTGCAGAGCCTTGCCATGTTACACGTCCGGCCCTGCCTGGCACACCACAGCAGCACCTGAAGAGACATCTCTCTGAAGAACTTGCCAGAGCTGGATTTTGCTATTTCCAACATCCTCTCAGCTCTGAAAATATTACACTTGGGGTTTAATAACTTGTGTATCTTTGGCTACACAAGATTCTCCCACCAGTTGTACACATTTATTTCCAGAATGGCCTTTTCCAGGAATGAGGAAGGATTTACCAATGTTATGAACGTGTTTTTGTACAGGAGTATATAACCAGGCCTCATTCAGGATTCCCTATGTTCCCACTTCTTCAGTCCACAGAGAGAAACTTATATATCAGTATTTATTCACAAAGCGTGCCTTCGAAAACAACCAAAATCATGAATGCCTACTTTTTCAATTAATAAGACTGTAAACTTATCTTTTTATATTTGTCCTCCCATTTTATTGTAAAATTGCCTTTTACTACTTTTTTATTGTATTAAGAAACTCATGGTATAAATTCATTACAGGAATATTTTTGAAAGTGTAAGTTTATTTTCCGTAAGGTGAAGAACCAAACGTTACTTCCTTACAGTTTACTTAAGAATATGTGTATATTCTTATGAATTTTGTTTATATTTTATGAGATATTTTATCATATTTAATATATAACGGAGGGGCCAGTTTGGTTTAAAATAAAAGAAACCACAAGAATAAATGAACTCTAGTTGTTATTTATACTCCAGTTACTCTTGTCAGGCTATCAAGAAAGACTAGAAGAAGACTGTGACCATGGAAGATTCCTTGGTATGTTGGGGGTGGGAGGGAGGAAGGGGAGAAACAGCTGGAAAGAGATGTGTGGAGAGAGATGTTGAAGAGGAAGTGCATATACCTTTGTGCCAGTCTTTGAAGCCATCTTCAATGATTTTAAATTTGAATTTTATTAACATTTATAGCACCTATAGACTTGAAAAGTAACCCCTCTCATTTACGAGATGTCTTTGTCCC